TTTAAAAATAAAAAACTTTTATTTATATTAAAAAATAATAAAAAATCTTATTTTAAATTTTATAATTAAAGCTTTTATATAATTATTATTAGGTTTAAAGTTTAGCTTATACCTTTAAAGTAATATATTATCCGTGCAACACCCCTCAGGTACTTGGTGCTACTTTTGCTATATATCTCAGGGATCCAGTATATTATAAATCGGACTAAACTGGTGGCAGGCATTGATCACGCTCTTCTGTGGCCATGTAATAGTGGCACTACTTACCATGGTCATCGGTTTCCCAGGACTCTACCATCACATCTCCTTTCCAGTCGCCACCAGAATAGCTTGGGGCTTCTACGGGTCCATCTTTGTGGTACTGAACCGTATTATCCTGTCGATTGTATGGTGCGGTGTTCAGTCGTGGCAAGGCGGACTCATGACGTACGTTTGCCTTCGCGCTATTTGGCCAGGTATAGACAATCTTCACAACACGATTCCAGAAAAGACTGGCATGAACTTGCAGCAATTTATTGGGTTTGTTGTTTATTTCGTCATCCAGCTGCCGTTTGTGTTTCTTAACCCTTCACGGCTGAGATACCTGACATATATCGGGAGTGTATCCGGGTGCATAGTCCAGGTCATCGTTGCTGGCTGGGCCTGCGCTACAATGGGCCCTGGCGGCTTTGGAGATGTCATAGCGGACGAAGCATCTCCTCTTGTCGGTTCACAGGTGCCATGGGTGGGTGTGTACTCAATCAGTGTCACCATTTCCAGTATGATCGCTGGAGCGCTCAGCACCTGCGATTATACGCGTTTCGCAAAACGTCCCGCCTCGGCTCTGTGTCCACAAGCCGTTGGGTTTGTTCCGGCATGGGGGTCTAATATCCTGGGCATCCTGACCGTGGCTGCTACACAGCAACGATACGGCGACAGATTATGGAGCGTGGCCCAGCTGCTTACTGCCATGCAGAATACGAATCCTGCGACCGAGACTCGCGTTGCTGTATTTTTTGCTGCTTTCGGCTTCTTTCTATCACAAATTTCACTAAATGTGATGGGCAATACGTTTTCTGGCGGCACTGACATTGCATCCCTACTACCAAAGTATATCAATATTCGGCGTGGGCAGCTCTTTACGGTTTTCCTCGGTCTCGTTATTAATCCCTGGTACCTACTTAGTGGTGCTACTATTTTCGTATCCGTCATGTCGGCGTATGCAGTCTTCTTGCAACCCTTTATTGGCATTCTGCTAGCGCATTATTTTGTCGTGCAGAAGAGGCGTATAAAAGTGTCAGATTTGTATACTCTGGATTCTCAGGGAATTTATTGGTATACTTGTGGCGTCAATTGGCGATCAGTACTTGCGGTATGTGCGTACCTAGTCCCGCGAGAAAGGAGTCATCCTAACATACCAGCGAGTGGGTTGCTGCTGTTGCACCGCACATACCGGGTTTCCTTATGACAGTCAACCCGTCAATTAAAGTTTCAACAGGAGTACTGCAGTTGTACTACCTGTCTTCCATGACAGGTTTCTTGATAGGTCAGAACTCCCTGCCTCCGCACGCTAAAGTCATCTCTAACTAGAACGTCTAGCATTTTCCCTTACGGTTGTTTTGCACTCAATATTCCCAGTAAAGGCTCAATCCATGTATATTTATTCATCTACATTTGATTTTACAAGAGAAGAAGTTGAGGATTATATCAAACAATATGAGCGT